ATATATATATTAGTTGTAAATAAAACAAAGATTATTGGAGTATGTTTTAAAAGAAAATACTATTTCAGTATTTCTGCTTAAAAAAAATCGCAGATTTAATTAAATGTGTTAGTGTAAATTGTTTCCACACCATTATTTATTCTCCCTCATGTTTTTCCAAACTTTTATGATGTTCTTTGCTTTTTCTGTGGAGCACAAAAGAAGATATTTTGAAAAATGTTTATATGTTTTGTTGTCCGTACAATGAAAGTCAGTAGAGTCCAGTGTTGTTTTGGACCCCATTGACTTTCACTGTATTGACAAAAACAATTGAATCATTTTCAAAAAATATCAGATCCACAGAAAAAAGAAAGGAAGTCATGCAAGTTTTGAACAACATGATGGTGAATAATTATAAGAAAATGTGAACTGTCCCTTTAACCCCTTTGTGAGGGCTCAACACTGGCTGCAATGTAGTGATGTGTGACCATAAATGATTACTTTAATTAGTTAATTATTTTAATAAGTTGTTTTACTATTCGAGTCCCTTGCATATGTCTATACATTAATTGTAGAATGCTTTCATAGAGAGTAGTTGAAAAGTATTTGTCCAATTCAATGTACTTACACAAGAACCGCAAGAAACCATTGAACTGCTGACTTTGTGTCTTATGAAAATGAATTAATAAATCAGGATGCTTTGTCTTCTTCTTCTTTCTTTTTTTTATAAAATTAGATGGTAGGAGATAATTTATAATTCGTAGTGTGTAGTGTCAGGGGAGTATATTGCAGAGGAGAAGATATTGTGTATTTCTGGAGCTGGGTCAGGAGAGGCCATGTTGTAGTTTGTGATGCAGTGTACAGTATTGTTTCTGCAATGGATATTGCAGTGCTGGTAGCTATTTAAAAGTTTAAGTCGAATGAGAAAGAACAAGAGATTTTGTTTACATCATGCACGTGGTAAGATCTTGGTCGTGGATGATTTGTGAGCCCGCCGTTGTCCACCCTGGCCGAAACGGAGTGCTATAGCAGAACGGCATTCCATCTGTACCATGATCCAAACCCTTTGCAGAAGTGCTAGCATCATTCAGCAAGCAATTTTCCTTGTGTTTAACAGGACAGGCGACAGGACGGGGGTCTGCCTCGGAGAGTGAGGCCCAGTTGGATTATTTTAGAGTGGTTTTGAAGCAGAAATGGCTAACTTTATAGTTGTAAATGACCTGAAGCTCCGACGAATTGCCCCGGTCAGACTCGCATGACCCGCCGCCTGTCCTGTGAAGATTTGCACTGCTCCATTTTCATCTTTCTAAAGCTGTCAACCCTCTGGCCAGGTTGCGACGGTGGGCTCAGTAGAACAGGGGTCTGATCGTAGTTTCGCCAGCGCAGCGGCTCTGTGGTGAGCTCTGTGAGCATGCCGTCTTCGTTTGCTTTTTGTATATGATAAAATTGGCTACACGCTGCTGAGAATTTGAAACACTTCAAGAGCAGAATGTTGCCCCAATGTGTGCTTTTTAAAGTGGCCACAGGTGATTGAACTTGCTATGACATGAATAATGCATTTGAGCTAATGCATGTAAAAACACATTATCTTACTGTTTTTGAAATTTTGAAACCCTTGTCTAA